TGGCTGGCTCCCCCGTCTACGAAGATTTTTACTAAGTCCGTCCCGATTTTCCCACTAAGCAGTATGGGGTTGTCTACTGTAGTACCCTCCTTATTCGGCCGGGTGTGGTCGATTGCGTGAACTGGCACAATCACTCGGTGAGGGTCGGTTGGGTCGGGCGAGCGGCGTGACCTGTCAGTAGAGGGCCCGTCTGCTACTGACTCCCAGCGTTTCCCTGCTGCTTGGTCTGTTTCTGCTGCTCAGCTTCCCCCTTTCCCTTAGCGTTTTCCGGGCATTCGCTCTTGCGATGTCCTGGCCGATTACGGGTGCAATGAATCGAAGTAGCGAGAATTGCACTAAGGTGTCAAACGAGTACAAAGATGTGAGCGAAGGCATGAGCGAACATTTATACGCGAAACATGCAAACGGTAACACGGTGCGTGCGAGCTAGCTAGTGCTATGCTGGCAGCGAGGCTCGGGCTAGTCCCGAAGCGTAGGCCGACACGGCCGGGCCAGCAGTGCGAGGTTTGGCAAAACAGTGCGCGCGAAGTTGGCGAAGTCCCGTTAGCAGTAACGGGCGAACAACGGCTGTTGCTGTACGCGATGTAGTCGGGCTCCGTAAGGAATGCCGAGAAAATTCCTTACAGCAACTCATAACAAACTTTCTCCAAGTCGTCGATTGCTGCGATTGTGAGAGCCAAGGATTTCTGGCTCGCATTTCCAGCTCCTCCGTGCCGTGCCACCCCAACCCACTCCACTTTTTGTCGATCCTTTCGCCTCAAGTGGCGCACAATGGACATCCAAGAAAGCTGAAGCGACGGTGCGACTTTTCCCATTGACGCTCGGCGACATCAGGACCAAATAGCTAGCCCAAGGCAGTTCTGCATGTAGTGAATGCGACAGTTCTACATAGCTCGGCGACAAAAGGACCTAATCACGCGTGCTTCTCCCATCCAATCTCAAGAAGGAATTGTTTCTAACTGCCGCTGTTTCCGGACTGCCAAGTGGCGAACTTGACAAAAGATACCTCTCTAATCCTCCTTGCCCGTCCACTTATCCTTTCTGTGCATAGACCTAGGAGCCAGAAACAGTACAGTACAGGCTAGGAGGGAGTCTGCAGCCTTCATTGTCTGTTGATAGCCGACGCGCTTCGGGTCGTCGTTCAGCCGCATGCCGCTACTGAAGAATGAAGTCCATGCAGACAAGTTGCGTACACGTCGTCCACCGACAAGTCTTTCGTTTCCTGTAATATTGGTCTTCTTACTCGACCAATCACATCATAACTTCTTCGGTCGTGCGTGGCCTACTGCGAACAACAGCTCCCCATTTTTCCGTGAGCAGAGTGGTTCACAATAAGGAAAGTAGCTCCCGAAATTTAGTCCATCCATCTGAGAACAGCAGGTGATTATCAGCTCAGCAGCCTGGGGAGTTAATCCTCTGCCTCGAGGCTCCTTCCACGTGCAACAATGTCACAATCCTATGCTGGTGACGCGCTGCTCCTCTCCCCGCCGTGCGTCGTCGTGCTGCTTCCAGACGGCTCGGCACGCCTCTACGACGACGCGTGTCTCACGGCGTCGACAGTGCTCGCCGACTTTCCCCGCCACCTGCTCCTCTCCACCCTCAGTATCGCCACACCTCGCTGTCAGAACTAGCAGTAGAAAGTAAGAATGAAGAAAGGAGGATGTTCACTAGCAAGCAGTTGGATACATATAGCAAACCCTAATTGGGCTGTACTCACTATAGAGTACCCCACTGCAGGCTAGACAATTATAACATTCTGACACACCCCCATAGCCAAAGTGGGGTGTAATCAGCACAACAAGCAAGTATAGTAATAGTTCACAATTATAAGCAAAGCTAGTGGTAGTCACAGCGGGCAAGTGAGGAGGAGGAGGGACTGTGAGAGGAGAGAAGATGAGAGACGGCGGCTGAAGCTGCAGACACACGGGCAACAGGAGCTGCTGGCACAGTGGCTACCGGGACAGTGCGCCCCGGACTACTGGAGTAACTGGCTCACGGGCTACGAGGAGCTACAGGAGCAACGGACCCTCGGGCGACAGGCGCAGCAGACTCTCTGGGCTACCAGGACAGTGCGCCCCGGACTACAGGTGCTGCGGACGACAAGACAGCAGCCTCCGCTCAACCTCCTCCAACTGTCCCACACACCCCCACACACCCACTGCTTCACTCCTAACTCCACTTGCACGTCACCCCCCTAGTACCACTCCTTCGGCTCCCACACACCCACCCCCCTCAGCGGCAGCTGCAGCACTGGGAGACGGAGGAGGAGGAGGAGCAGGGGACGACGCACAGAAACTGCACCCCCATACCCCCCACCCCCAAACCCTAATTCAGGAGAACGGGCAGCAGCAGGGGTGGGGCGCCGTCAGAAGCACGGGGGACAGCGGGCAGCGCAGGGGCAGAGAAAACAGGGCGCCCACGGGCCTGGCGCAGCCCGTACGAACCGCGTGCGGGCGGCCCGAGGCGCGCCCTGGCCTGGCGCAGTCCGTACGGGCCGCGCGCGGGCCTGGCGCTGCCCGTACGGGCCGCGCGCGGGCCTGGCGCAGCCCGTACGGGCCGCGCGCGGGCCTGGCGCAGCCCGTACGGGCCGCGCGCAGGCTGTACGGGCCGCGCGCGGGCCCTACGCAAGTCGCGCAGGCCGCGACGGGCGACGGGGGGCGACGCGCGGGTCCCCGTCGCCCGTCGCAGCGCCTCCCGGGAGCGACGCGCGGAGTGACGGGGCAGAAAGCCGCCGCGCGCCTCGGGGCGCACGGCGGGCAAAAAACCGCCGCGCGCCTCGGGGCGCACGGCGGGCAGAAAACCGCCGCGCGCCTCGGGGCGCACGGCGGGCAGAAAACCGCCGCACGCTCCGAGCGCGCGGCGGGATGAAAAATCCGTCGCACGCCACGGGGCGTGCAACACACAGAGTAGCAGTAGCAGCGGAAGCAGTGAGGTGGTGGGCCCACCCACAGGATCGACCCAGGAGGGTCGACCTGCTCTGATAGCATGTCAGAACTAGCAGTAGAAAGTAAGAATGAAGAAAGGAGGATGTTCACTAGCAAGCAGTTGGATACATATAGCAAACCCTAATTGGGCTGTACTCACTATAGAGTACCCCACTGCAGGCTAGACAATTATAACATTCTGACACTCGCACCCCCCTGCCACCCGCCACGCACCTCAAACCTGGCCGAACGTACTACCTCGTCGCGGAAATCCAGTCTCCGCGAATGGCGGCGAGAGTTGAGGCCCACCGGGTGGACGTTTCGTCGCTAAAGACGCCATCGTCGTCGCAGTTCTCGCCGAGCTCGTTCCGCAAGTCGCAATCCCTACCCTGCACCCAAGTCGAGTCGTCTCGGAGCCCTCTGCAAGCAGCGGGCTCCGCTTCGGCCCACGACCCCAGAAACCAGGGCACGCAGCTGCTTCTCGGAACTTTCTGCCCGGTTTCTCCGCTCACAACGTTATCGCCGTTTTCTCCCGGAGGGCCTCTGTCCGAAGGCAGAATTCCGCTGGACTGCCATCACGGTCAGACGCGCAGCTCTCCCCCGGAGTCGTGGAAGGAGGGAGTGGAGGAGAATGATGGATGCATTTTGAGAACCTCAAGCACGCCGGCGTGCGCGCATCGAGGGAGCAAGAGTAGTATTAAACGTCGCGGTGTGCCTGTGCTCCTATCGCAGCGACAAGATGAAGGACGCACAGCTTCCGCGAACCGTATTTTTCAAGAGGTAATTTTTGGTTTGAATACATGCTATCCACTTTACCTGCTTCTTCCCGTCAAAGGTACTACAATTACAACTTTCTGGACTGATGTGTCCTTGAGTGAAGTACTCTTAACAATTTTACTCGTTTCCATTCGTCCCCCGTGCCGTGCTGCAGCTCGCAGCTCTGGACGACTTAACAGTTGATGAAAGCGCGGGCTGTAACCGAGGCCAGCAGTCCCTTTTCGAAGCGTTTGCTGAATCAACTTCGGCGGGGCCAATCACTGAAACTCGGCGAGCATCGTCCAATGAATCTAAGCTGTCTGTAATCAACAAGATCTCGCAGCTGAAACTATGGGGTTTCAGAAGCAGAGGCGCCACGGGTCGGAAGATGAACAAGAGCCAGAGCCAACAAAATATTCCCCTCGACATTCCCGAAGCTCCAGGTCTTGGCGAAGCCGTTGTGGCCGGAAATCGACGGACTGCAAGGCACTGTGAAGAGGAAACGTCATGGAATAAGATGGTCGACAAATCGATGATGTTTACGGACACGCAGATTATGGTTCGCCAGGGCAACGCCTCTGTTGCTGCTCCGGCCAAGAATAGCTCTCAAGGGAGGGCGGTCCCAAGACGTCGTTCTTCCCAAGCGGAAGAACCTCACTTTTCCGACTTCGAACATTATCGTTCCCTGACTTTTTATACCGAGCGCTACAACGAACCTATTTATGGCTGATCCACTTTTGATTTGGAGACATTTGTTTCATTCAATCCTCTATCCGAAATTATTCATCTTCTGAATGTTATGTTGTGCTTTGAGATCTTCGATAAAATAAAATAAACATACCTGCCCAGCAGAGATGCTAGCTTATTATGTTTTGAACTGTTTATTAGAAGCTGAAGAATTATTGACTCCAAGCCTGGCTCCAACGTGTACAACACTGTGCGTCGGGCCTCGGCCATTCTTCAACCATTACCCTACCGGCCACCACGCTCTTCCCACCACTCACCAGTTTTGCCAGTACCGTAAATAACAGCCATTGCCAGGTTACAACAAATAAGGGCGTATCCCTGGGTGGTGGCAGGGCCACTGTAGATGGCAGCCTGCCACGAACACATAAAACGCCAGGTTGGTGTCAGGAAATTTGGCGCGCGAATACAGGTGCGTGATTGGGCAATGTCCCAAAAATGTCACTTCAATGCCACCAAATACGAGTCGCGCGCGCCTCGGTAAAAATGTTGGTGGCATGCGGTTTTCCCGCATGCCACCAACTCTGCCATCTACAGTGGCCCTGCCACCACCCAGGGATACGCCCTAACATCGTTCTAGTACGAGTCACTGAAGCGCTGTTGCAACCCCTGTTCCCAAGGTGCTCTCCTGCCATCAGCTTCCGTGACTTCACGAAACTCCATCCACTCGCTTGACCCACGCTTTGACAGCCGGGGGAGGCTTCTACCTATACTCCCCCCTGCAACGCTTCCACCACCTCTCGTTCCCAACGAGACCACAACCTCTCCCTCCACTGCCCTCCTGTCGGAACCCCCACCCAACCCTCCGCTGCTGCAACGCGCTTGTACCTCCCTCAGGCTCAGCGCTTGCTCCAGTGGCCGCTCCCTCCCGACTGAGTGAGTCGATGGCACCTGAAGCAGCGACGGCGACAACTGCATGCAGTCCTGCGGCGTGGATGGCGCTGACATGGCCGCGAGAGTGGCAGCAGTGGGAGGACGTGTGCGGTGGAGCAGTTGCACTATGAGGCCCTGCAGTCCTGCCACCACGTCTCTCAGCTCCTCCACTGTCGCCTGGCTGCGCACCAACTCCTCCTGCACTCACGCACAGAGGAGGGCATGCAAGATGGGGACAACGAGGTGTTGTTGTGAGAGATAAGACAGGCCAGCACTTGCCGGTATTGTAGATTATTGTATGCACAACCCCCTGCCACGATCCCCTCTCACCTGCTTTCCTCCCCCCCTCTCTCCCCCCTCTCAGCCACACCCCCACACCTTGATGTGCGTGAGGCTAAGTTTCTGCATGGGCTGCTTGACTGGCAGGGCGGCCTGCCTGACCACCTCGCCACACTGCAGCACCAACGCCTGTGATAGCTGCTCCAGGCCTGCCTCCTCCTCCCCCTCACCCAGCCACGCCGCAGGACGATGCTTGAGTGAAGAATCGGACTTGTAGGGCCCACGTTGCTGGAGGATGGGGAGAGAAAGGCTGATTGATCTGAGGGCATGATCATGGATAGCACATTGCAATCGCAACACATCGCACTCACAACTTGTGGTATACCACAGCATATGGCATTTGCATGCCATGCCACAACAATGTCACTACACATGGCACATGCCACAATGTGCATGTCAAAAGCCTCATCACGAACCATGCCAGAAAAGACGCACCGCACGGTCATGGCGCCGTTGAAGAATCATGGAGAGCGAGATGGCGTCGATGCACTTCTCCCGCACTCGCAGTGCATGCTGCCGCCGCACTCCAGTCGTGCTACTGGCCAACGGGAAGGCGGGGCGGTTCTCACACCGGCCCAAGTGCGGCGGCGGCTCGTCCCTGCTGCCACGGCTGAGGCTGGTGGGGAAAAGTTCGCGCACCCGATGCATGATCGATTGAAGAGGGCGCTTCTGACGGTTCGACTGCAAGGCACACGTGTGTTGGAAGATAGCTGGTTTGATGGAAGCAGGAGCTCTTATACGGCAGCAGCAATGCCTGTTGCAGCGAAGACAGTGAGTGCAGTTCACAACTTGTTGTAATCCTAACTGGCGCTGACGAAGGCCTAACGGCCGAAACGCGTACGCCTACTTAGTTCTCTTAATTTGAGACTTATCAAGTCCTCATTCATACCCTTTTTCCTAATCCTACGAAGCAACCCACCCATTACACTTAGCTAAAACTTTCTACGGTGACCACACGGTCTGCTGCGGTTCGAATCCTGAAAGGTCCAGAAAGTCGATGGAGCTGTCGTTGATCTCCCACGTGAATTTGATGGTCGGGCGGAGTAGGTTGAATCTCGTAAGAAAATCATCCAGCTCTGTTTTCCCCCGATCCCAGATGATGATCCCGTCGTCAATGTACCCATTGTGAATGAGTGGCAGATGGGATACCTTCCGATATAACTCCTCGTCAAGCCAGCTCATAAACAGGATGGCGAAGACGGGAGCAACCGGGGTACCCATGACCGTACCTTGTACCTGGTGGTATATAGCATCATCAAATTGTACAAACGAATTAAGCATAACCCATGTAAGGAGCCCAACTATCAGTGGCCTAAGTGGGTGTTCTGTACGAAACAAAAGCCTATCTACTGACTCTATCCCATCTAAAATGGGAAGAGACGGATACAGACTTTGAACATCATACGTGCATACGATCACCTCAGAAGTAAACTTACGTGTCTCTAACTCTAAAAGGAGAGAAGTGCTGTCCTTCAAGTAGGTCTTCTGTTTCTGAAGAAGAGGTCGTAACTGTCCATCCAGCCATTTAAAAACCACTGTGGTAACCCAAGAGTGGGATGCTGCACTTGGTCTTCCAACAGGAGTTTTCTTGTGCATCTTGAGCAGAATATAGAAGAAGGCTGGTTTCCAGCCTGACTTTGGAGGTGTTTCCATAAAGTCCCAAACTTTTTTAGGGAGACAAGGCAGGAACTCCATCCTTATCCTTGCAAAGCTTGACTAGATTTGTTCCAATGGAACCCGATCAATCTGCTTGTAAACTTCGTTGTCGTTGAGGTGTCTTATTCTTGTAAGAATCAATGTCGGGTTGAGGTGTTCCAAGACATTGATTCTTATAGAACTCCTTATCCATGATTGTTATGCCCAGATTCTTATCTGCAGGCTTAACAACAATGGAGGAGTCTTGACTCAAAAGACTTCAAAGCCTTCCTCAGGTGTGGAGAAAAGTTCGTCCATCTCTTGGGTTGTACTTCCAGCAATTCCTGCTGAAGTAGACCCTTGTGTTGTTCCACTATAGTATGAAGCGTTACATCACGTTTCTCCAAAGGAACATCCCAACTAGGATTTGGAACTCTATGATGGGCTGAGAAAAGCCCTTAGGATCTTTACAGGGATGAACTCTGGGTAGGACTGTAATAGCGGAAGCGTTTCAATGAAAGATTGTGAACCACCTTGCGCTAGTATGTGAGGGCAAAGTAAGTTGATTAAAACAAAGAGATACAAGATTATATATATAAGAGTACAAGGAATACGAAGAGATACGGTTGTAACTACTTTTACTGTTGCTGTTGCGGTTCGATACAGTGACGACTCGGGCAACTGCTCTGTAGCGAGTCAGTTGTGTGTCCTTGCTGTCGCGCTGTACTTGTCAGGTCAAAGGTCGCTGACCTTTGACTTTCGCGTAACCTCCAGCAGTTACTTCAACCTCCGAGGGTTGACTCGCTGGTGCCTCGATATGCTTTGCTTCGCTTGTGCCTTGTTGTTTCGACACGACAGAGGCGCTTAAGACCGATTGTTTCCAACACTCCCCTTCGCTTCTGGAGTGTCGCTGACGTGGCTCTGTCCAGTCAGCAGCATGCAGTATTCGAACTTCTGCTTTCCGAGCTTCTTGGTCAGGTAGTCAGCTGCCATCTCGGACGTGGGGCAGTATGACAGCTCGAGCCTCCCTTTCTCGATCTCGTCCTTCACGAAGAAATATCGCAGGGCAATGTGTTTCGTCCTGTTCGCGAAGCCGTTCTTGTTGGCGATGCGAATTGCCGACTGGTTGTCGCAGAACAGGGTGAAGCTGGGTAACTGAGCCAGTTTCGCTTCTTCCAGCAGTTCGCGAAGGTAAAGTCCTTCCTTGGTGGCTGAACAGAGTGCAATATATTCTGCTTCAGCTGACGAGAGAGCAATTAATTCCTGCTTGCTCGACTGCCAAGAGATAGGTCCGATAGGTTCGAGGCGGTAGATGTAGCCAGTGCGAGAACGCCTGTTGTCGGAATCGCCAGCGTGATGGGCGTCGACGTAGCCGATTAACTTAGGCGGCGTAGTTGCGTTCTTGTAGTAAGTTAGACCAATCGTCGGGGTGCTGATGAGGTAGTGAAGAGCGCGGTCGAGTTCTGCTAGATGTTCTGCTTCGGGCCTCTTGAGGTAGGTGGCGAGTTGGCTTGCAGAGTACGATAGATCTGGGCGGCAGGTGACAGCTGCGAAGAGAAGGCAGCCCAGCTTTCTCTGGTAGTCGCGTATGCCGGCGGGCTTGAGTAGAGCGGAGCCTTCCTTGTTGTTTCCTGACGTGTAGCGGTACGGTGTAGAGATGACAGTTGGTGTAAGTGCGAAGCGCTTGGCGATGGTGTCGGCGTATTTCGCGGCGCTGAGGTAGATAGCGTCTTCCTCTTCCCGAATGTTGAGCCCGAGGTACTGTGTAACGGTAGATGAGACTGTCAGTGTGAGATCCTGCTGCAGCTCCCCTTCGAACCAGGTGGTGACGTTGTCGGTTGAGCCGATGTAGAGGAGATCGTCTACGTAGACGATTAGCAGGATGTAATCTGCGCCTTTCGTGAGTCGGTACATCCCCTGATCGTGTGGTAGTTGTTTGAAGCCGATGCGAATGAGGCGAGCGTGAAGGTACTGCTGCCATAGCCGTGGAGCTTGCTTGATCCCGTAGAGCGACTTCAGCAACTGACAGACTTGGTTGGGCTCCCCATTGGTACCGTGCGGTAGTTCCACGAAAATTTCTGCGTCAACGGGTGCGTAGAGAAATGCGTTCGCGACATCGATTTGCCGCAGCTTCTTTTTCTTCATGGCGGCGATTGCGAGAAGGATTCGGAGCGAAGTGTGTCGGCTGACCGGAGCGAAGGTTTCGGTGAAGTCTCGCCCGTGTTCTTGGTCGAAGCCGCGTACGACCCATCGTGCCTTGAATTTGTCGATGGTGCTGTCGGCCTTCGTCTTCACGCGGAAGACCCATTTTCCGGTGAGAATGGTTTTGTTCCGTGCTACGCCGATGGGGACAATTTTCCACGTGTTGCGCTCCTCTAATGCCTTCAGTTCTTTGTCCATGGCTTCGCGCCATTTTTCCCTATGCTCCCCCCCCAGAGCCTGCTGAACCGTCGCAGGCTCCTTAGGAACGCCCGTGCCGTGGACTGCGGTGACGAGCCCGAGTATCTGGAGTCCGCTCTGTGTGTAGCGGGGGAGTGACATGTCCGCGGGATAAGCAGCTTCGTCTCCCGCTTCTGGATCAGGTGCGAAGTTGGGTCCTACGCGTTCTGCTTCGTCGGTGTTTACTTGTGCAGGTGTAACATAACCGTTGTCAGCGAAATGATAGTAGGTTTCGGCGTTGATGCTCTCGCGTGGGTTTTCGTCGTCCATTGGCACGTTGACGGAGCAGTAGGGGAGGGGTCCGGCTTCTTCCGAGGCTCCTTCCACGTTCTGCTCGTCCCAGTCAGCTTCGTCTTCTGCCGAAGCGAAGGCTCGGTCTCCACGGAAGCCACCTGTGGGGTCTCGGTTTTCGTCCAGGTTGGCAAGGTACGTCTGCAGTGTGAGTCGCTCGTAGAAAATGACATCACGTGCTGCCACTGTTTCTTTTGTCTCGACGTCGAAAATCTTCCATGCGTTGTAGTGTTTTTCAATGCCCAGGTGTAGTCCCCACTGTGCTCGTTGGGAGAATCGTCCTGCTCGTGCAGATGGAGGTCGGTATTGTACCATGCAGCCGAAGACTCGTAACATTTTTGTGCTGCCCAGTTTTCCTGTTCACAGCAGATGCGGTGATGTGTTGTTCGGAAGTGACGACGAAGAAAGCAAGTTGTGCAGCATCACGGCGTGGTCCATTGCTTCGGGCCACTGGTGGGTGGGTAGCCGCATGCCACGTAACAGTTTCCGCATGGTGTTCTGGAGGGTCCTGTTCATCCTCTCTGCTACACCCTGCTGTTGATGGGCGTAGGGAAGGGAAATGAGCCGCTTGATTCCTCTCTCTGCCAGATACTGCTTGAACCTTTGTGAGGTGTATTCTCCTCCCCCGTCTGACTGGAAGCTCTTTAGTTTGACGCCCGATTCTCGCTCTGCTACTGGGAGCCACGCGACGAAGGCTTCGAACGCCATATCCTTGCTTGGAAGATTCAGGTGCCAAACGTAACGTGTTGCGGCGTCGATGAACGTGATGGTGTAGTTGTACGCGTTCTGCCCCGGCTCGCGATTGTACAGGATGTCGCTGTACACCTTCTCGAGTGGCGTGTAAGCTGGTGCGCTTGGGTTATGGTGAGACGCGAACGGTCGATGTGGTGAGTCAGCTTCAGGGCAGATGAAGCACGTTCCACGTACTCGTTGAAGTTCTCTTCCATCGGTCAGTAGTAGTGAGTCCTTGTCGAGTACTCCTGCTCGTATCGTATTGTTTAATACTGTGTTGCTTGGGTGTCCCATCCTTGCGTGCCAGGTGCTTTCGTCGACGCGATGTCCGGGTGATCGTCGGTACAGTTCGGAGTTGGAGTAGAAGTTGGCGGTGAAGTTGGTGCTACGATGAACTTCTCGTGGTGCTGGGTGTAGTTGTTGCGCGGGTGTCAGTGGTGTGTCGTCGACGAGGAGCGGTGCCGTTGAAGGGCCAGCGATTGGTGTTGACGTTCTTGCTGCTGCCGTTGATGGTTCTGCTACTGCCGATGTTGTCTCTGCTGCTGCCGATGTTGTCTCTGCTGCTGCCGATGTTGTCTCTGCTGCTGCCGATGTTGTCTCTGCTGCTGCCGATGTTGTCTCTGCTGCTGCTGATGTTGTCTGAATTGTTGCTAACGCCCTTGTTCTTTCTGTCTCAGGGATGGTGTGTGAATACCAGAAGCCTTCTGGACTGAAGTCTGGATCAAGGTCTGGAGGATGGGTCTAGGAGGTGAAGGTGACGATGCCGTCGCTGTCTGCTGTGCCGAGATCTGGGACAAAGTCAAGAACGAAGACGTTGTTTTTGAGGATCACCCTTCCGATGTAGAGGCCGCCCTTCCCGTGGTACAGCTTGAACTCCTGGGTGGTGCTGTCTGCCTCGAGGTGAATGCCCTTCGCCATCAACTGACTGACGCTCAGTAGGTTGTAGCCGAGGCCTTCTGCGATTAGAACCTTAGACATCTGTAGAACGACATTTGTCTCTCGTGATTGAAGTTGTACCACGCCTTGTCGTCGTGTGCGCAGGTTCTGATTATTGGCGACGGTGATGACTACTTCGTGTTGAAGTCGATACTCTCGCTGCACGAAGTGTCCTGAAGAGCACATTGTTGTCCGCAGCAACTGTCCAAGAACCACGTATCTTTCCCGGATGGCTCGCTTTGAGCAATGGCTGCGTATGTTGGGTTCGGCTGGAGTGACTCGCGGCGAGGTGTGGTGTCGTCAAGTCGTTCTTCCGGTGAGTAGTGTGGCGGTGACTCGGTGATGCAGGAATCGGTCAGTTTTGCTATGCAACTGACGATGTTCCTTGCTCCTTGTGCAGGTTGTGTTGTTGACGGTTTCGACTGGCTTGTGGGGTTCGCCTGTGTTGATGCCACTTGGCTACTGGAAGGTCGAAGCTGCCGTTGAGGTGGAGTTGACTGTTGTCGATTCGGGAAGTGTGTGCGCGGGTGCCCTGACGTCTTGCAGATGTGGCAGAAAGGAGGTACGGACTTCGGTTGTTGTAGTGAAGTGCCAGATCTCCGTCACTTAAAGCTGCTGACCCCGCCCCCAAAGATTTCCTCTTCCTTGGAATTCGTTGCCTCGTCCTCCCCTCCCTCTGTCTCCTCGTCCTCCCCTTCCTCTCCCCCTCCCCCATCCCAGCCCTTTTTTTGGCTCGTAGAAGGGTTCAGATGGCAGGTTGTCCAGCGGCTGCCATGAATCTGTCCACTGGGAAGAGGGTTGGTAGCCATTGGAAGGAAAAGGAGGAGGGTGTGGCCCGTTCTGCCACAGCGAGTTAGATGGACGTGGCCCGTTCTGCCACTGTGAGTTGGATGGACGTGTGTGTTGCGGATACTGCGGGTACTGCTGCTGCAGCTGTTGCTGCTGCCGCTGCTGTTGCTGCTGCTTTGGCTGGTGCTGCTGCTGCGGCTGCTGCTGCTGCTGCTGCTGTTGTTGCTGCTGCTGCTGTTGCTTTGACTGCTGTTGCGGTTTAGACTCCAGCTGTTTTTCCAAGGCAGCCAACCTATTACTAAGGCTGGAGCTGTCGATGATCTCTCGAACAGTGGGTTCCACCTCCATGGTTTCAGCCGTTGCCTTCGCTTTCAGCTTCCGTTGCACTTCGCGTTGTGCTGCTTCCTGTTGATCCACGTACTTCATCGTTTCTTCCATGACAATCTCCTTGGAGGCTGCAGCCCCGTTCAGCCCCGTTCAGCCCCGTTCAGAAATGTGGCTGTTCAGCCCCGTTCAGCCCCGTTCAGAAAGACGCACCAAAAGACGCAAGCCCGGGCAGGGCAAAAAAACACCCCGGGCAGGCAAAAAAAATGTTATAGGCCCTGGATGAGCACGGGGGCGGGTCGGGCTGTTCTGGCCCGCCTATTTCCCCTGCGACAATTTGCTTCGTCAGCTCTACTTATAAGCTAGTCGAGAAAACCCTAAAAGTTGATTACGCTGTCGACTATATCCCAGGCCAACAAATGCGGCCAGATCTGGTCGACCTGGGATGGGAATTGATAGAAATGTGGTTTTTGTTCTAATTTGAGTCGATTTCGTCAGATCTCATTCTTGCGGGGATTTGGGACCCCCGACAAATGTCGTGGGGGTCAAATTTGAGCTGCGCGACATTTTGTGCAAGCTCTAGCGCAAGCTCAGCTCACCCCTAGCTTCTCATCATGCCATCTCTCACCTAGCTCGTTCCCAAACTTAGGTTTTAGTGTTAGTTAACCGTTTTAAAGTAACGGTTATCTCAAAGGGTGACGAAATAGTGCGTTTGTGGTAAGGGGGGATCGAAATTTCGCGATTTCGACAGTCGCATCGAAATCGCGAATGTGAATTTCGCGATCGGGATTTTTTTTTTGTGGACGCGCGTCCTGCGTCCGAGCGTCCAGACGCTGCGTCCAGACGCAGGACGCAGCGTCCTCCGTGCGTCTTTCGCATCATAGGGTTACAGCCATGCTGCCCCCCGTGTCCACTGTGCACCGCACTGTCGTCAGCACAAACGTCCGTGCCTCGCCTGCCAACGTGTGGCAATAGGGAAAGGGGGGGGGGGCACTGGGAGCCGTGAGGTGTGAAGGTTGAATGAAGAGAGGAACAACAAGTGTGCATGATGAGAGTTGATTCTAGTCATGGGCTGGTCAGTGCACGAGATGAGCCCAGCCGGAAGCTCGGCTCGACAAGCCGAGCTGGCAGCTGACCCGATTTGTGGCTCGTTGGAAGGAGGCGAGCCGGGACGAGGAGCCGTCCTTGCCTCGTCAAAGAACCTGGTACTGCAATTCAGTTTTACTCAAACTTTTCAGGGTCACATGCTCACATGACCCATCCTACTGCTGCCCTTCTCCATGAGCAATGGTACTTAGCTGACGCCTTGTTGAGATTTGACTAACTGACAAGGTGGGCATTGGCTCGACTAGTCAGCTCGGATCGCCACATTGACTAATTCAGCCGACAGGCTGAGACGTTGCCTTGGATGTTCCTTATCCCTAAGAGCAACACATGTTTGTGGATTGTTATTACTACCACACGGTGATTACCGTTGAAGGTTACGGAGCTGACTTGGACGCTGCGCGTGGCGTTGTCAATGTAGTTGCCATCCACGAGGTATTGGAGGCGCCTGGTGGCTGCGTCGTTGTCAAGATTGATGTCAAACACCAGTGGGTAGGCCGCGATGGAGTCCTGCTGAGAGTAGGACACAGGGGCGGTTCATCCACCCATAGAATGAGACAAGGAGACATGGAGCGCAAGAAATGAGAATGCTGACGAAGTCCTACATTCTGAACGCGCATCGTTTGAGTCATCCATGGCAGGGGCAGGGGCAGTGACAGCGGCAGTGGCAGTGGCAGTGGCAGTGGCAGCGTCAGTGGCAGTGGCTGAGTGCGATGCCATGGCTCACTTACAGTGGGGCGGATGAAACCGTATGGGAGGCCCTGAGGGTTGAACTGCAGCTTGACGCCAAAGGTATGGTTGTCCAGCTGACTCATGTTGGCTGCCGCAGCGCCGTCGTACAGGGAGGAGGTGGGCAGGAAGTGCGGGTTCACCCCATAGGGCTCCCTGGACGTGCCGTTGCTGCACCACCCCGCCAGGTGCAGCACACTGGTGGAGGGGGGTTGGGGGGTGGGGTGGAGGGGGAGAGGGAGAGAGGAAGACGAGGAAGAGCAGAGGAGAAGGGTGGTATTGCTGAGTGTAAAAAGGGGGAGAATTTGGTGCCCTGACAGCAGTTGGTGTGCACAGCAAAACAAAGAAGGCGGTTATTGCCCACTAAACGAAACTCACCCCTGTCCGCTGCACACCTGCGTGCCCCACCGTTCCTGCTGCAGCACCATGCCGATCAGCAGGCTGGCGGGAGAAGAGCAAGCGGGGAGGAGGGGAAGGGGAGGAGTGGACATGGTGTATAACTGAGGAGAGGTGCGTGACAGGAGGGCATGTAAATGCAAGGATGGCAGCGCATGGATGGCAGCGCACGCATGGATGGCAGCGCATGGATGGCGGCGCACGCATGGATGGCAGCGCATGGATGGCAGCGCATGGATGGCAGCGCATGGATGGCAGCGCATGGATGGCAGTGAGCAGCCCCTGCGATGGCAGGCAACGAGGCCCGGGGCTTACCGGTTGTGGCGTGAGACAAAGCGGTTGACTGCGATTTCCCTTTCAGCAGCAAATGCGTGGTTGCTGTCTGTGTAGTTAGGGCCGTAGCGCTGCAGCGAGAAGGGGAAGGTGAGGTCGCGACCCACTGCTGTGGACGCACAGCACGCTGGCGAGGACAGAAGTGGACAGGACATGAGGGGGGAGGGGGGGGAGTGTGTGCACGGGTTGAGGAGCGGCGAGGGAGATGAGGAATCGAGCGGACGGAGAGGAAAGCACGGAGCGGGGGCGGGGAAACGTAAGACGGACGTGTTGGGTGGGAGGGGGGGGGATGACTGACAGCCGTCGTCGCGGCGAGTGTGGCCCGGGGGGCAGGTGCAGATCCCGGGGCCGAAGAGCGGGTCCACACACGCGCAGTCGCCGCCGTCAAAGGCGCATGCAGGCGTGTTGCACGGCGCGTCGCACACCCCATTGGCTAGCCGCTGCAGTCGGCAGCCCGGCGCACAGAAGTAGGGCGTTGTGGCGGGGGTGGTGGTGGTGGTGATGTTTGCAGCGGCGGTGGTGGTGCTGGGGGGAGAAGTGAAGGGTGCGGCACTGGAGCTGGTACTGGCTGTCATAATGCATGTATGATAGCATACCATTCATGGGATGGAAGGCACAACAAGAGAAATGGACACGGTGGGGGTGGAGAGAGGAAGGAAGCACAAGGGAATGCAATGAGGGAGATGGACAGAAGGAAACAGGAGGGAAAGCACGGAGGAAGTCAAGAATGCCGTGCGGCAAGCAAGCACTGCGGCATACAGCATGGCATGGCATACAGTCTCTCACCAGCAGCCTCAGATCTCGCCCTCGCAGGCAGCACAGTGAGAACACTGGCAGAGGACGTGGAAGAGGAGGAGGAGGAGGGGACGGGGGAAGAGGAGGAGGAGGAAGGCGAGGAGGAGTCTCCTGGCAGAACCCCATCCTCATAGTAGATAATGCCGGGCTGCTCAAACACCTTGCTGTACGCAAACCAGTCCGCTGGCTCGCCGTCCATCCCTGGTGGGTAAAGGTGGGGAAGGAGAGGGGGCGAGAGGAGGGTGGGGGGAAGAATGGGTGTGACGATGGAGAAGCAGGTGGGGCTGTGCATGGGGACAGCCAGGTGTGGAAGCAAGCTTCTCGTGCCCCATGTGTCACCATGCCACCACCAATCAACCCCCCCCACTCACTCAGCCAACCGCCCACTCACTGAGCACGCACGGCAGGGGCTCGATGCCGGCGTCCTGCACGCCAGCGTTCATGGGGGTGCACGCCAGCTGCCGTGACACGGCCAGGCGGTGCCCTCCAAAGCCCAGGAAGAACGGGTCGCCCGCCTCGCCCATCCCTGCCACTGGTGGTCGTGGTGGCAGCAGCGGCGGTGGCGGCGGCAGCGGTGGTGGTGGAGCAAGAAAAATGGTGGGGCATGAAGTAGTCGGACCGGCGAGTGAAAAGAGGTGGCATGGGGCACGATCCGGCAGGCATCGCAAACGAAGATGGTAGGGAAGTAAGTGCTTGGTAGGAAAGGGTGTTATGAAAGGGCGTACCTTTGAGCGAGTGCGGGAGGTCATCATCCCACACCCATGTGACCTTGTCCCCCACATGGATGGTCGTGTTGTGCGTCACACCTGCTCGCCACTGCAGCCACGCCCCACCTGAAGGACGCAGAAAAGGGGAAGAAACCAGGAAACAAGGAACCGCGGCCAGTCAAGCATGCTCCGACTGTAACCTGCACATGCAGATGCAACACAACACGCACTCACCACCGCTACCACCAGGCCCCCAAGAGCACCTTGTGAGCAGCCGACAGCATGGGAGGAGACAATGGCATCGTCAAAGGCATGCAGCAGCACGTGCAGGCGCGTGGTTGAGTCGTCACTCATAGGCGTCACGGACCGCAGCGCCGCCACCAACGTCTGCACGAACCGCCGCATGTGCTGCGCCGAGATGGCCCGCTGCTGCATCATGCTCCCACCACCGCCACTGCCACCGCCGCCACCGCTGCTGCCGCCGCTGATATGCGTGCGCTGCAGGTACGCGTACAGGTCTGCCGCTGCCACCACCTGCTGCCTCGCCTCGTCCATCAGCCGGCACTCCTCCATCGCCGTGACAGGCCCTCCCAGCATCGTGCACAAGCACGCCACAATGCGCCGCCTCATGCTGCCCGGCCCACCCTGTGCGTGCGTCGCCTGTGCTCCTGGTGCACGGCCGGCCAGGCACGTGTCCTTGGCCATGGTGAAGAGCGCTCGTGATATTGCCACCTGCAGCACTGTCAGTCGCTGTCGGTCCGTGGCGCCCAGGAGCGACCAGAGGGACGGAGCAGTGGCGACTGATGTGCTTTCTGATCCGCCTGCTGCCATGGCTTCTGCTGCTGCAGCCGCTGCTGCATGTGGTGGCAGTGATGATGACGCTGGGGACGCTAGTGGTGATGGTGGTGGTGGTGGTGGTGGTGGTGCTGGCGCTGGTGTCACTTCAATTTTCTGTGCTCCCTGCATGTGCGTTGCTGCCAGTGCTGTGGCAGAAGCAGAGGCACCAGCAGCAGAGGCAGAAGGAGCGCGCACTGCTGCTGCAGCGGGAAGGGAGGCGGCATCCGAGAGGCCAGCAGCACCCAAGGTGGCCCAGTGGCCGTGGCTGTGCGAGTGGTGGAGGTGATACAGTGCCTGTGAGTGGTGACACCATGCGGGTTAGGGGAGAAGAGCATACATAATTGGAAGACGAGACACGAATGTGAAGCGTGGTGAATGCAAGTGCTGCTGGGAGGAGGGACAACTGCAGCGAGCAGAAAGGTTGGGCGTGCACGAATGGGAAGCATACACTGCGGGATAGCAAGTGAGAGGGAAGTCATTTACCTTGCGGCGGTTGGTGGGAGCTTTGGGAGTTGATGGAGTGGCGCCTGGTGTTGACACGGGTGCAGCGGGGTCCAGCGAGGGGAACGGCAGCAGCACGCCGGGAGAGGGGAGGCACGGCACCCAGTCCCACACGAGGCATGAGAGTCACAGGACGAGGAGAGGCGCAATGAGAAGTGAAGCAAAGGTACTACAAGTAGCCACACTCGTATCATGGTAAGGAATGTGGAAGTGGCACGCGAAAAGGGGGATTGTTGCGTGAACGAATCAAACAAGGAGCAGGAAGAGGGAGAGAAACGAAGAGAAAGGGGAGCAACCCGTGCAAGGTAGAGACCTGCGGTTTGGTTCGAAGCGGACCGGTTCACCTTGAACCAAACGCCCATTCTTTTCTTCCTCCAGAGTTTTGACACAAACCAACATTGCATGGTGGTGGTGGTGGGAGAGGAGGAGGAGGAGGAGGAGGAGGAGGAGGAGGAGGAGGAGGAGGAGGAGGAGTACAGTAGGGGTTGAATGTTGAGTCGCAGCAAAATGATGTGCGACGCCATGAGGGACTTGTACTTGACAGACGTTAAATGATTTTCCAGCTTAATGCGCTGTAGCAAGTGCATACCTGATGTGTTGCACGGGGTGTTGGAGAATACTGTAGCAATGTCCGGCTGGCGAGTGGGGGGATGGCATTAAAGGGAAATTGTGAGGGACAAGTGAGAACCAAGTGGGCTGATGGGGGCCAGGAAAGGTGGGACCTGGAGTCATGAGTGGGTTACAGAGTGCTGCCGGCTGCCCAAACATTGGTCGGTGGCCTTACACATCGGATTGAATTATTTTTTTCTCGCACATACTAGTACAGAGAATCAAGACTCCTACCGCCACACAACAGACCATGATCTCTCCAAAGGACTTACTGGTTTTTTTCAGCCCAAAGGGTGGGAGATGGGTGGCATACCGTGGAACAGGGGGTGCCTGCATAGCGCGTGATGGTGGAGGGCGCCACCACGCACATGCGCACACAGTCCACAAACGCCCCTGCCACCTCCCTCTGTGAATGCCCGCCCGCACGCTGCTGGCAGACACGTGGTCAGGCTCACACACGTCTGCACACACACGCATGCATGCATGCATGCATGGATGGACGGACGGACGGACGGATGGATGGATGGATGGATGGATGGATGGATGGATGGATGGATGGATGGATGGATGGATGGATGGATGGATGGATGGATGGATGGATGGATGGATGGATGGATGGATGGATGGATGGATGGATGGATGGATGGATGGATGGATGGATGGATGGATGGATGGATGGATGGATGGAGCTGGATATATTAACATCAAATGGATTAGAGAGTAACGGCACCACACCCAGCTCAGACTTACATTATGCATATGCTGAAAGCTTCACATCTTAAACAACACGGCGGAAAAGTGAGCAACTACATACTCACATTGCGGCAGACATCAGCAGCAGCGGAAGAACCACCACTGGCCCCCTTCTGATTGGCCGCATTCGCATCGACAGCATCGCCACTGGCGCAGTCCCCCCATGCCACCAGCTCCACGGTGCTGGCGGCGCCAATCACGGAGAGGCGGCGCGTGCCGGGAGGGGGCGCGTGCACGGCGCCCCTGATGCCCCCCGAGGGCGCGTTGAGCAGCACCTCCCAGTCACCGTCTGGTATCTCCATCTCCACTGCCACCTCCCCGCCTGCCACTGGCTGGAAGGCCTCATACCTGATGATTGTACAGGGTGGGACGATGGGGTGGGGTGGGGTGGTGTGGGGTGGGATAGGATGGAATGGGGTGGGATGTGATGACCCCATACATAAGATGGTTGACGGCAAGATGAGCAGGACGGATGGAGGAGGGTACGTTCACTGGCAGAGTAGCTGCTTCCTTTGCAAGTGGGAAGAACATACCAGCAGAGGGACACGGGGTTGACCATGCAGAGGTTCCAGGAAGGTTCCTCTGCAGCCCCCTGGGTATCGAGCTGGGAGGAGAAGTTGATGATGACAGCGGTGAGGTTGGGGAAGGTGCCGCAATCCGCATGGCAGCCGAAGCGGCCGAAGGCGGGGAACTGGAAAGGACGGTCGCACGTGCCGTCACCACACGGAAGGTCCGCCCAGAGGGTCTGAGGGGACGAGAGGGAGGAACACGGGGCAGGTGAGACGCACGGCGCAGGTGAGACGCACGGGGCAGGTGAGACGCACGGGGCAGGTGAGACACGAAAGGCCCACTGATGCGTGTATGGGCTTTCTGGTGAAGTGTCGAACTGGTGTGTGTGTGCTGTGGAGGGCAACAGGCAACAGGTGCTCGAGTGAGGGGAGACATGAATCAAGGGGAGAGAGGCAGGAAGAAAGAAACTCTCACGTGCATGAGACGCGCCTTTTGCCACACCGCCTTGCCTGTTAGACAGTGTTTGAGATGACCGGATAATCGACTCACCTGCCCGAACGACGAATTTGTTGAGCCAGCGCTTTGCGGCACCTCAGCATATGAGGTGACTCTCAATCATCAGTATGATTGGGGTAATTGCGGTAATCGGTGTAACCGGTGTAAGCGAGGTAATCAAGGTAATCTGTTATGAGTTGTAAAAGAGAGTGCGTGGAATAACGAATAACGAGAAAGTGACTCAATGAACTGACAATACAATGAAGGCACGCGCTAATATAGTGACTACCCTAGCTAGGAAGGAACCCCGGGAGAACGAGGTTGGGTGCAGGTCTAGCGATCGGAAAGCCGAAGGCGGCGCGGGGCAGCCTCGGCATCGTGAAATTCACGTGAATGTAGGCCGAACGTGCGAAGTCCAAAATGTCGGGGTTGTACGCGTAGCAGTCAACCCCACTAAGGAATAAGGAAAATTCCTTACATAATCGGTGTAACCGGTGTAAGTGGGGTAATCGGGGTAATCGGTGTAACCGGTGTAAGTGGGGTAATCGGGGTAATCGGTGTAACCGGTGTAAGGTCGGATTCCTGTCCTCGTGTCATCCGGCCCTTGTGACATCCGAACATTTGGGACCACCCAAATGTGACGCGTCGGATGACTCGAAGTCGAATCGGAAACCCGTGTCTCGCCTAAAAAAACAACCGGATGACATGAAGCTAGGAATCTGCCCTAAGAGGGGTAATCTGGGTCATCAGTGTAACCGGTATAAGTGGGGTAATCGGGGTAATCGGTGTAATCGGTATAACTGGGGTAATCGGGGTAATTGGCATAATCGGTTTTAAAGGGTAATCAGTGTAATGGGTGGGCTCACCTACCTGCACGATGGTGCTGTTGAGCCAGTCATAGAAGTCAGCGGGGCCCGCAAAGGTGTTGGAGGAGTCCTGACTCATGCCCTGGTGGCAATGGGACGTGACGCAGTGGGGAAGCAGGAATAGTCAGGAGGGTGACGGGAGAGGAGAGGAGGCGGCACTGGCAGAACAGAGGCGTGAGTAAATGTCAGTGGTTCACGATGTGATCCGAGTGGGCACGGGGCTTCAGAGCTCACAGGAAGTGCGGAGGCACCGGGAAGAGAAGAGAAGAAGCAAGACAAGCAGAGGAAAGCAACAGGCGGGTGGGGTGGAGGATGGAGCAGCGGAGGAAGAGAGTGAGTGTGGGGCGGGAAAGGGGAGGGGAACATACAGGGGGGAAGAGCACAGAGTGGGCGGCGGTGATTTCATAGCTGCGGGAGGAGTCGGCCTGCAGGTAGAGGATGGTGGTGAAGAGCGCCATGAGCAGCGCGAACCCCCCCAAATCACGGTAATGCTGCACTCGCTGCTGCAGCGCCACCACACGCGTGAACGCCTCTGCCACACCACACACAAGTGGGAGGGAGGGTGGGAGGGGAGAGGAGCGGATCACACGGGCATGGGCATGGTCACTGCACAGGGGGTTGTTTTGCAGCGGACTTTGAGGCGGGCGCCTCCACTCGACTCCTTGAGGCAGCGGAAAAAGCGGTGAGGAGAGGACGGTGGGAATGGCTGGTATGGCGTGCAAGAGAAGAGGCACGCAGAAGGTACAGAAGAGAAGAGGTAGGTAGGTACGAAGGATTCGTCCTCAACGGCGCACGCATGGCCCCCACCCCACAGCCCCGGGTTTAGGGAGCACCGCTTGCTACCGTTCTAAACCTGCGCGCACCTTGCAGTACCTCACTGTCCATCTCGTCCATCTCCGCGTCCTGCAGCAGCACGTCGCTGAGCGATCGCCGCAAGCTCGTCTCCGCCACGCTCGCCGCCCTCATGCTCGGCCCCCCCATGCCCTTGGGCGCGCCCCGCGCCATGGTCGTCCCTGTGGCATCCGCCGTCAAGCTGCGCTTCAGGGGAGCCCCCTCCGCGGTCGCCTTCCCCCCCACTGCGCCTTCCGCGCCCTCCGCACCGCTGCTCCCCTCGCAACCCGTGCTGTCCGCCTGCCTGCGCGTCGCCCCGCACTGCGGCAGTAAACCGTGCAATCCCCTCTTAACATCCGCTGCACTCTCATGGTGGCTGCTGCCGCTGTCCCTCGCGACATTGTTCCGCCAACAACCTTCTCCGCCAGCTCTCCTTTCCTCCGCCAACCCCCCCGCGCCCATCCCCGCGCGAATCCCCTCTCCCACCGCTTCGCCGCCAGCTCTTCCCTCCCCCTCGTCGTCACCGCAACCTGGCGTATCCTCGCCGTCGCCCTCCTCAACGGCGCAGTCGGACGGATTGAACGACGAGCCTGCTGCGACACGTGTCATGAGCTCCGCATTCCGCGGAACGAATCCGTGGCTATCGAAAAAGTCCAAGTTGTGCGTCGTGCGGCTGCGAGACCCCGAGGGCTTCAAGCCATGGCTTCCAAGCACACGAAACGGAAAGAATGGGCGGAGCAGAAGGGTAACTAGAAGTTACCGGGCTGAAAATTGGAACCGCCGTGCAAGTTTCCGCAACGAGGACGAAAAGCAACAATGACAAGAGCGAATCAGAAAAGGTTTACAGAAAGTCGCCGCGTTCAAAGTTGGTCTTTAGTACCTGGACGCAGCAGCGTGGGACTTGGATCGGAACCACATGCGTTTGTTGGCCGCCTCGTACGCGTGAAACTTCTCCTCCAACAAGCTCTCCGACCGCGACAGCAGCGTCGCATCCGCCTCGCCATTTGCCTCCGCGGCCGCGGCCGCCTGCGCCTGCTTTTTCGCGCGCACCACTGCGACCGCCTCCGCCATGACTAGTACTGCTACGGGTAGGTGAAGCAGGCTCGCTCGGACTTACTATTGCATTGGGTGGATGTGCTGATGCGTAACGTATTTGGCGGTGGGAAAGAGGTAGCTCCGTCGTGAGGAAATCACCCATCGTATAGAAGGTGAGGGATTGGCTTTGAGGGAGAGAGCTGACTGTGCAGCCTGAATGAGGTGGGCCAATGGTGCGAGCTTTGGCAGTTGACCAGACCTTGCTGTCAGGCAAGGCCATGCCGACAGATATTTTGCAATGGCGGTGAACTCGATTGTCAGGCATGGTGGAGGAAGGAGAAGATCCAAATGTCTGCTCTGGTCCGTAGTTGACCTTTTTGTTTTGACATGTTATGATTTGTTCGCAGGTTGCTTCACATCAATGCCTAGATTGTCAGGCATGTGACGAATGCGAAGGCCAAACCTTGGATGGGGGGTGCCAGCCGTGCGGGGGTGCCTGCGGAGCGGAACCCAAGGCCCAGTTCGGCTGGCGTTATGGGCGTTATGGCCTTTTTAACCAGCCTCGAAAAACGCCGGGTCGAAATAACGACGAAGCCAAGATGCGCTAGCGTTGTAACTTCGGAATAACGGGGTTGAGTGTTCGGCAGGCGTTAATAATGATGGCGTTATGGGAGCTGAACATTCGAAGAGGCCAGAATGCAGTTGCTATGCTGGATCGCACAATCTCTGTTCACCTTCGAACAATCATATGATTGGTCAGTCCATTCGACCAGTCGCATATGGGCCCAGTTCGGCAGGCGTTAAAAAGGCGTTAATATCAGGCTCGGGGACTGGCTACAGTGAAAAGATAAGCGAGCGGTCGGTTATCAAGGTTCGAGATAGGCAGACATTTTAACGCACTCAGGCTCGACATCAATCCGCCTATCTCGAACCTTGATAACCGACCGCTCACTTATCTTTTCACTGTAGCCGGTCCCCGAGCCTGATATTAACGCCTTTTTAACGCCTGCCGAACTGGGTCCTGTTCGGTAGCCCCCCTAGTCACACTTCGGTTGGTGCATGTGATCTTCCTCGGCCCAATTTCAACTTACCTTAAAACCCACCGAATCGTTATTAGAACATCATACCTGCCCAGTGCGAATTGGCTACCGAACGAGTAAAAAACCCAGTCCGAGTGAACACCATACCTGCTCAGGCAAGCTCGACCGTCAGTGAAAGTCAATCCCATTTCTGCTTTCCAGTTCCACTCAGACAGGCCCGCTCTGAGTGGCATGCTGTAGGGTAAACGCTGCATTAGTTTCGAATCGGGTCAAATTATGTCTTTCAGCCCGTTCATTCAAACGATGAGAGATCGTGCCCGTTCGTGATTTTCTTTTATCCATATCGAGGGTTTTCCATTTGGCAGGCTGTTTTTGTTTGTGAGCTGGGCAGCCTCGTACAGCAGTAAAAGTTTCGACAAGTAATTTCTCGAGAAACACACGGTAACTTTTAGCATTTTTGGACGAGATTTCCTTTCAGTGTGAGTGGACGCCCGAGGCTACGAAACATGTCGTAGGCTTCCCCAGTTCGAGTGGGCCCAGTGTGACTGGAAGGCTACCAAACAGGGCCAAGGGGTAGGTGAAATTACCTCCACCATTCGATATTGTGATCAGACTTCTGTGGAACAGAACCGCTGTGTTCGCCAGCAACTTTGAAATAGAATGGCATCTTGACGGCATCGGAATGGTGACCGCATCAGGGGGCTGTTCGCCAGCACCATTATAGCAAAAAACCACAGGATGACGACGGGATCAGGAAGGTGGGTCTCGCCTTCCTGATCCCGTCAGTTAGAGTTCGTTAACCTCCGTCAGCCAGGTCAGCCCGTAAAAAAGGTGCCGAGCCTCCCTAACCGTCCAAACCAACAAACAAAGTGGGCGTCTGGTGAACGCCCACTTTTGTCCACCAAATCTAACGATTCCTTGGCATATGAAAGCGGGGACGAAACTTCGTCCCCAAGCAAAACTCCATCCCCTAGCCATGCCATCGTCATGCCGTGTTTTTCAAAGCACAGCGTTGGCACAGCCGACGCATTGCTGTTCAGAGGGGAACCCTTGAACAAGCCTTGAACAAGCCTGCAGTTTGACAAAGGGCTGTTCGTATACCCCCCATTTGAGGAGTTGTGTCTGGGCATGAGCACGAGGTGGCGGGGGTTGTGTTTGAGCGTTGGGTGTTTTATTTGCGTTTTTTACCCACGTAGAGAAAATTTTGGCCAGCGGGCATTACAAGGGTCAGTGAGGCCAAACTTTCGCGCCATAGGGGGGAAGGTGGGAATGGACCTTCCTGATGCGGTTGCGTAATTTCGCCTTTCGGGATGGCGAAGTTTCTCGGGCGGCATCACGCCCAACCCTCGGAGGAGGGTTCCGCCCCCGTTTCTATATGCGGTCGCGATGCCGATGCCATCGTTTTTTGTTCAAGAAACGATGTGCTGGCGAACAACACCTAGAATCCAAAAACAGAATCCGCCCAAGAGGTCTGTGAGAAACTTAGAACGAGAATGAATTGACTAAGGAATGAAAGTGATACAAATATGAAACCCTAGAATTGTTTACCCCTTAGTATCTAACCCGCTACAGCCTACACAGGCTAGATCATATAAGTTTGACACACCCCCATAGGCAAAGTGGGGGAGAACAAGGGGTCACAAGACCAGTCAAGCAAAGCAAGGCAAAGCAAGCTCAGGGTGGATCACAACGTCACCACACATTCTGAGCACAAGTTCAAGGCCACAAGGCCAGTTCACATGCATGAGTACACACATATATATAACGCTAAACAAGCAAGAGCAGGTATATATATATGTAACAGTACAAGCAAGGTCAAGAAGTGAGCAAGTGAGGCAAGGTAGGTACAAGACCTAACAGAGTACAGAAGCGCTGATGGTCACAAGGCGCAAGTGCCTTGGTGAAGATATCAGCAGTGTTGGCCTCAGAGGCCACGTAAGCAAGGCGCAGCTGACCGCGCTGCTGAAGCTCACGAGCAAGGAAGTAGCGAAGAGCGATGTGCTTCGTTCTGTGCTCCAGTCTGTGCTCCCGACACAAGGCCAGCATAGCCTTGTTGTCTACGTACAGAACTGGAGGAGAACGAGGCGGCTCTCCTAGGTCAGTCAGCAGGTAGGTGAGCCAGCGTAGCTCCTGTGCAGCCATGGCCCCTGCGTAGATCTCAGCCTCACAACTGGAGCCGAGAACAGAAGACGAGCGGGTAGACCGCCACGAAACAGAGCCGGAACCAAGGCTGAAGGTGTAACCCTGTGACGACCGCTGCGTAGCCTGGTCGTCAGCCCAAGAAGCGTCTGCGTGACCAGTGAGGACCACTGGACTCCGCCCTCCAAGCACAAGCCCCATGCCCGACGTACTGCACAAGTAGCGCAACACCCTCTTCGCTGCAGCCATGTGCTCTGGTCTGTGTCTCCCAGGAGCAACATAGCGTGCCAGAATGCTAAGAGGGTATGCAAGGTCAGGTCGAGTGCAGGTCATCAGGTACATGAGGCAGCCAACAAGCTCTGGGTACGGGCCACTCGACTCTACGGACTCATCCGAAGGCAGAGCTGAGAGCGAGTGGCGAGTAGACAGAGGAGTGGCCTGAGGCGAGGAGTACGTGAAGCCGAAGCGCTGAAGGACCTGCTGCACCATGTGTGACTGAGTCAGGGTAATGGTGCGCTGTGCTCTGTCCCGGGTGATCTGCAAGCCAAGGTAGCTGCGCAGTTCACCCAGGTCTGTGCACGTGTGTCTCTTCTGCAGCTCGGACTTCACGTGGGCGAGTCCAGCAGTGTCAGCTGTGGCAAAGACCAAGTCGTCGACGTACACGAGGATGTAGAACGGCGGCAAAGAAGTGTCGGTGCGCAGAAACAGCGACGGGTCGGCAGTAGAAGGAGCAAACCCAAGAGCCGCAAGTGTAGTCCTCAGTGTGTCGTGCCACTCACGAGGTGCCTGGCGGAGACCGTAGACTGGCCGCCGGAGGCTCCACTGGGTACCAGGAGGAAAAGACCCAGTGAAGCCAGGTGGGTGGCGCAGCCAGATCTCCTCGTGCAGGCTGCCCTGCAAGAAAGCAGTGCTGAAGTCAAGAGAGTGAAGCTCGTAGTCACGGTGAGCGGCTATGTGCAGCAGTACCCGAAGAGTGGTCATCTTCGGGGTGGGAGAGAAGGTCTGAAAGTAGTCAACTCCGTGCCGCTGACTGAAGCCACGAGCCACGTAGCGCGCCTTGAAGACAGGCGGAGAACCCGGCGGCCGCTTCACCCTGAAAATCCACATGCCACTGACGATGTTCGCCCCAGGAGGGGGAACCTCGTCGACGTAGGTGCCTGTGGACTTCCAGGAAGCCATCTCTGCATCCATGGCTGCCTGCCACTGAGAGGAGTAGGGACCCTCTATCGCCTCCGCGTAAGAGCGCGGAGTCGGGATGTCTGGTGCATCCGGGTCTCCCTCAGGGGCAAGCAGCATGGACACGAGATGAGGTGAAGCAGCAGCAAAGCACTGGAACTCCTCCTGCCTGTCCTCAAGGACGTCCGTGCCAAGGGCACACTCACCCCCGACGGACGG